ACCATCCGTCCTCAAATTTCAATTTACGGGTTATGTATTATGTATTATGTATTATGTATTATGTATGTATTTCTTTAATATTGAAATATTGTGGTAAGCTCGGTCTGAAATTGGACTCAAAAGTACTAGTAATCAAAAATTATGAGGCGCGCTGTACGCCTCTGATATAACTTAAATAGCTGCCTGTCGCTGAAATCATTATCTTCATGGCAACAGCTGAAGTTTTATAGACAGATATAACATACTGCCAAAGTCCACTATTGTTCTGTGGATTATTTCCTTGCTCATGGTTAGCAACTTGAGGCCCCCCGGGGGGGGGGGGTACTCCCTTATATGGCCTATATAGGTATGTGCGGCCCCAAAGGGTATGGTTTTTCAGTCGTTTTGGTCATAAATAGGGTATCGATTTCAGCCATCTTGATCATTAATAGGGTCTGGTTTTTACACTGTAGTCTTGAATTTGGCATGTTTTTTTTAGAAGGTAATTTTTTATCATTGTCGGTAAGACCGATGAACAACAGCCAAATGCAATAAAATATCGAAGTATCAATGATCAAACTAGTTATATTCTATCAAGATATTTTGATCAACCGCAATCCTGCGCCTTAGTGTGATTTCAACAACTGCCAAGTTATGTTGATTTAATTTGAAAGGTTCCCTATGCATAACTCTAGGTAATTTAAGCTTGTCATACTGGTTGTTAAGTTCACGTTGCTTGTCTTGTTGGATCTGGAAACAACTTCGGAGGACATATTTGAGGAAGGGTGATAAAAATCACAAGTTTGCATTGTGAAAAAAACATTTATTACAAAATTGTAAGTAAATAAAATTGTAAATAACATTTGTAAATAGAATTTTACTTAAGAATTGCAATTCTTAAAGGGTCAGCACTCAACTACATGCGCTACTATGTTGTTTATTTTACCTCCTCAGGGTTGCACACGGAGACACCAAAGGGAAGCAGGGTTATTGCAGTTACCAGCACTGCCATCATTCTGGCTGGATGCTTACCTTGTCTAAAGCAAGACACTGCTACATAAACTAGTCTTTGGTTCCACAAATTTCCCCAATGTAAAATCAACAGTCCCCTGACGACAAATCAGCTTGTGTGATGCCACTGAAGAGATTGTGTTCTACACCTAAAATCGGTTTGTTGAGATGGGGACAAAGACAAAACGATGGGGGAGGGCGGGGGGGAGCTGTAGTGTTAACTATTCCTTGTTGAATCCATAGACCAAAGTCAGATTGTTGTCAAACTCACAAATGACAATATATTCAAGACTAATCAGCTTTAATTAGCTACTACTGGTAGCGTTTCTCTTTCCCTTTTCTATTTTGAATTTTGTCTTTACTTATTAAGTGCGTATAGTCTTAGATTTATCTTAAAACTGAGAAGTGACCATGAGATGCAGACTGGAACAACACATTTACTCGTGCCTAGTCCACTCTGGGTGTTCTTGGAGTTCCCGCTGACTGATTTCCAAATCTTCACTGCGTTCTGAAACAGAAATTACAGAGGGCTTTAGAATTTTGATGAAATGCCCAATTATTAGCAACAGGATAGTTGATCTTGTAAGATGATGCGGATTTTCTTTTAGTTTGACGCGCCGAGGAGACAAGCAGCGTTCCTTACCTGATGATGCCCTTGAGGGAAGATCAAGTCCTTTAAGAGTGTCTGCAATATCCTCCACCTTTTCTTTCCTTTCTACATCAACAGTAGCCCTGTTTTCACCGCAGTACTCCAAAAACCTACAAGCCATAACGTTTGAGTTCATAATTCTGGCCAGACATTTCAAGCTAGAAGAGGACGGCTATGCAAATCAGAGTTTTGAGGTTTAAGGCGTTTTTAAACAAACCCGAAGTTGTTATCTGAGGATAAACTGAGTTGATCGGGCTTGTTGTCTACATAGTGCACTAAAGTTCTTAACGGTAATACATGAACTGTACCTCTTTACAAAGCTTATCAAAGGCCATGAACTTAACAAAGCTGGATCTCAACTTGTTGGTCAAAAACACCTACCTTTTCAAGTTTTCGTCCAGACACAGCATGTCCGGGTTGCCTATTAAAATCAAGAGAGCCTGGGCACGAGTAATGGCTACATTGAATCTCTGAAAGAAAATGTTTACAAAAATTAGGTAATTGAATCTGTTGTGTGTGCTCCCAGGAGATTAACTAACAGAAAGATAAGGTGCGCACGAGTTTTAGTTAATCTTTCAAACTGTCCTAAACTGATTCTCCATCAGGATTAATGTTTAGCGAGTAATTTGGACAGTTTCGGACACCACACACGATTAACACGACATACCGACGCAGGCCTGCCGAGTTCGAAACTAGTTGACTCCAAAAGCTGATTTTCTTGATCTACCTCGTCCAATCTAGGTAGTCAAGCAGATTCCTTTCATCCAATTCCAAATTCGACCGTAAGTGGTCCTATTACATCACGCAAATGAATAGTCTCCTTAACAGAACCGACTATTTAGAGGATAATCCTACTTTTGGGTTGTTAAGAAATCCAAGGTGGAAATCTCTGTCCATATCCAGATACTCTTTTTTAGTGCTTCGAACAGTTGATAAGATAATCACTCTTCTCTCCTGTCCCTGAAACTCTTCCACGCTTCCAACTTTAATACCAGGACCGAACCGTCTCTTTTCAATCATCTTTTGAATCTTTTGAACCTAACCAAGAAGCCAAGGAAACATTGTTAGCAGTTGCTCATTTAACAGACTGAAAAACAGTTATCGGTCTTTTCCTCCAAACAAACGCAAGCTAAAAACGGACTGTATTACAGGCATATTTTCCCTTCTGAAAACAAGGTGGGGTTGTGCATTAATCAGAACAAACAACGCGGTTTTTTTGCATGCCTTTTTGCAAGAGCGGGAATTAAAACTCTTAAAACGATCAAATCGATTTTGTCCTCTGACAGAGCAACGCAAAGAGCGGCGAGTGTATGTAAAATAAGGCGAGAGATTAAGTAAGGCCTAATCAGTGATTAATTAATGATTAATGACCTACTTGTCTCTTGTAGGGAGAAATAACTCCAATCATCTC